ATTCTCACAGTCCATCACTCACCAAACAAAATTTTAAACCAAGTCCACAATCACCGCCATCAGTGGTCTCGCACCTTACTGCCCATCTAGCTAAGCCCGCCCAGCTGCCTAACTAGCATCCTCGGTAGGTTGTGATGGTAATTTGTCGCCTAGCTCTTATCTACTAAAATAATTGGAAAACTTAAAAAATAGAATACTTTGCAGTGATAAACGTAGGTGCCAATGATTGTACTCCCATACTGGAGATTATACCATAGACAGACCCAACAAAACTTAATATTTTTGTTGAATTTTAGGTAAAACTCTGCTAAAATACAATTTTCATCTATGCAGTGGTTGCATTGCATTACTAATAATGTCGAAAAAATTAAAAATAACGTATATAAAAAATCTATCCCTTGTTGACTTCAATAAAATGGCTACCTTCAGTTCAGTTCAGTTTTTTTTTAATTTTAGTGTTGCAAGAGGGCCAATCATTGTTGGGGGGGGGGGGGGGGGGGTAAAAGTAAGTCTACAGTCCAAGATACTTTAATTTCAGTTTAGGTATGAACTGCTACATTATATAGGTAAGTATAACAAAATAATCTTCTAATTATAATAAATAATACTTAGGTATAATTACGAAAAATTTAAAGTAACTTTGCTACAGTTACTTATGTTTGAGTGTAACTTTTTTGTTATGTACTGTAATGTTGTTGTTAGTGACTTGTATACCGCTCTGGTCTGGCAGTATTATTTTCAAATTGATTACAATATTATCAACAATATTGGTACGTAATTAGTCCTCAGACTGTAAGTAAAGGGAGTAAAGTTTTTAAGGTCCTGTGCCTCCTGATACCTGGGAATTGGCCCACAGCACAAGTTAGCTAGTATATACATTTGATTTATTGAACACACTAATAGAACCCGATTATTCATATTGTCTCCATCACAAAATAAGTAAGACTGGCAGGCCTGGATTTTAGACAATTATAATATGTATTGTTCTCTACCATCAGAAGCACAATTATGAAATCAATTGTTCGTTTAAATAGCACTTGCGATCTATTGAATATAAGATTTTTCTTCATCAGTTTTATTCACCAAGTTATAGGTAAGTAATGACTTATTTTAACGCAACTTCAACCATACATTTACAAGATCGGACTATCCTTCCTTTAGTTTCAGACTTAGCAAAAGTTTTGTAGAAACAGTTGCCTGGTAAATTTAGAACTGTAGGTAAGTTGGTCTACGTTAATTTCATTGTCTGTGAGTAGGGTACACAAAATAGATCAGGGGTAAGGTCAACTTCAGAAGTCGATAGATGGCTCCGAGTCTTGTTATATATATATATATGGAGTAAACCTTAAAAAAGTCATTATAAACACTAAATCGTGCTGTCTTATCTTTAAACATTTATAATCGTTATGAGCGCAGGTTATACAGCAATATGTTTTCATACTTATCATATTTATTCCCTTGGACAGTTTTTGTTAGTAATGGTCACTCAATGATCACGTATACAGTATGGAAAATGTAAGTTAATAAAATCTTAAGAGTTTAATCAATATCGAGCTTAAGACATCATTCTATCTTTGTAAATTGTTTAAAGTTAAATAAAGATAGGATAAGGCTTAAACATGATTAGCTTTTAAATTTAAATTAAGGAGTTTGGTGCAATTGGGCCTCAAATAGTATTGTTTAAGATTAAGAGTATGAAAAACAATAATTTAGTCATAGTATACGTATGCACTTAATACCAACGAAAATTTACTAGAGAATTTATTAAAGCTCTTTTTAAGATTGAAAGACTTTGGCTTAACTCGGTAGAGCGTCTGAAGGCTCTGATCTTTACGCTAGTTTGCCGTGACATGAACAATGATGGATTTTTTTTATAATCGGGTAAGTGGCACTCGTTATACTTAAATATTCACCACTTTTAAGCTATGGTCCTCATTTGAGGTTGTATAATATCTTTGACTACCTTATTTTATAGGTACGAGATGCAAAAAAAAGGCAGGTAATCGATTGTCTTTTCTAGGGTTTAATTATTATTTCCACTTTATAGGATTTAAAAAGCAGAATTTCAATATCATTTCTATGATAGGAACAGTTATTTGATAAAATTTAATAAAAATCAAGTTTTACCTGAATTTCGGTTTGTTCAATTCAAGCATGGTAATCCATCCATACTTTTCAAAGATAAAACTTAGACTTTTTGTCCAGTTTTTTTTTTTCATGTAGATATTAACGTTTAAGTTAACGTCCACGTGAAGTCTTCGTTGTTTATATAGCGCCATCCAAAACTCACTTTTTCCGACGATATCGACTGCTTGCTCTCGAGTTAAATTATTACTATGTCAACACAAGCAGAGCAGCTACGACTGCATTTCTAAGTTTGTTCTGCTAGTTCTTCCCAGATATGCCTTAAAATTTCATAATCAGTCAGGGCTCCACACTCAGGGTAGGCAACTGTGTGAGTGATATTTTTGGTATGGCAAGCGTCTAGGCTATTACACTTTTAACATAAATAATAATAACTTTCTCATGAGCAGAAGTTGAGAGAAGAGGTTGACGCACATACAGTTGAGGGCATTTTTGTGTTTACAATTCCATTTATCAGCACCTTTATTACATTGTCATAAAAGTGAAATTTCTTGTAGGTACAAATATATTGTTATGATTTTGACCTACTCATGTCATGAACGTTTTGTTTACGATTAGCAATTATATTGAAATATTAAGTATTTTTCTATAAGTCGAAGCTAAAAAGAAAAAGACAATTAAAAAAAGGTATAAGGAACTCAACTTCTTGTACGTATTTCTGTTATATAAAGATGATGGTCATCGACTTCTTTTAATCTATACTTATAATAAATCTGTAGAGATGTCAATTCTGTACATGAAATATATTTTTAAATCGATACTGATGCCAAAAATGCAATCAGTAAATTTTTTGTCTGTCTGTCTGTCTGTCTGTGTGTGTGTATGTTCCTTATAGAAACAAAAACTACTCAACGGATTTTAACGAAACTTGGTACAATTATTCTTCATACTCCTGGGCAGGTTATAGTATACTTTTCATCACGCTACAATCGATAGCAGCAGAGTAGTGAAGGGAAATGTTGGGAAAACGGGAGAAGCTACACCATTTTTTAAGTTTCCATCGCGGGTGCAGCCTTAATGGTTAAAGTTACATAGAAATCATGTATGACTGAAATATTCTACATAAAATTGTCTAAAAAATATCCCGCAACAGCATATGTCTATCTTTTATGGTAGACTCACAATAACACGTGTAATTATATAAATAAAGTCATTCTTTATAGCACAAGCCTGAGAACAAAAACTATAGTTTACACTACAGCTCTACACCGAAGCGAAGCGAGGGCGGGCCACTAGTTGCTAATAGTTAATATATGCAACTGTTGTATATTGAAACACGTATGTTGGTTTATCACACGAAGCGAAGCCGAGTCTTGCCGAGTTGTATACAAGATTTTATCTGCACTCATGTAATGAATCGTCTATAAAAGGCTCTGAAAACATGCAGCGTTCTAAGAATTTAAAATTCATGAAAAGTTAGTGAAAAGCGCATGAGATGCCACGCGTCGAGAAATAAGAATCGAAAAATCATATAATTTTTAATATTTTTATTTTGGATCTTCATTTTCCCATATGATTTATAGACATCAAAGTGGCTATTCTGCAAGTTAATTTATACAATTATATTGTTTACTTAATGAATTTAGGGCTACATGCACTACCAATTTTAAAACAAAAATTAAAAACACCGCTCAATATTGTCTATTGTTAAAATTAAACAGAGGTATAATGATCTTTAAACATGATTTATTTTAAATTTAAGTTAATAACGGTACCGGCTTAATTGAGATTAAAATATAATGTTTTAAACATAATCAGCCTCGTATTTTTTTAATTATTTATATTTATAACTAGCTGTGACCCGCGTTATTACCCGTGGTTTATTAGGGATATTTTCCTGCAGTTAAACGTAGCCTATGTGTTAATCCAGAGTGTCAGCTAACTCTATACCAAATTTTATTAAAATCGCTCCAGCCGTTTAGACATGAAGAAGTAACAAACATACACACTCACACACTCACATACTCACAAACTTTTGCCATTATAATATTAGTGTGATTGACCCTTTTGCTGCAAGTGTCCATTGGCGACAATGACTATTTTCCAACAGGTGCACTGCCAACTTGTTTGCCTGCGTAAACAAAAAAACGTCAGCGATATAAATTAGTAAAGTTAGTAAAGGTAAATACTTATGATGTCATACTATTAAGATGTCATTACTTCCCATGGAAAGAATTGAGTATATAACTGTCTTATAACCAATCCAATCCTACTAGATTATCAACAAGCATGTTTTACCCGATACAACACTTCATTATTTCATGGTATTTTTTAAATACACCACTTTGACAAATATTTACGATATTCATAAGTTTAAGATTACACACCTATAATGGAAAACGCTATTGTAGACAATATTTGTAACATACTCGCAGTCCGCATAATACTTAAAACAAATACAATATTTCACGCGAACAGAACTCAAGGGTCTGCAAAAAAGTGCCAGTCTATAAAATATTTCTTGCATAAAAGAAATGGATCCTTTCGTACGCAGCTCCAAGTTCTAAAGTTGGCCGGGCTCGTTATTACTCCAGTAGGCAAGAACAGGCAACAGCACGTGAAATTGCCAACAAAAAGGAAGGAGAAAATAGCGCGGAGCAGCAAGCACCATGGGCCGACTCGGTTCGCGAACTACATTACAGTTTACATAAAAACATCGTGTTGAACGACAACGGGGCATCAACTTTCCCAGCTAAGACATAAGCGAAATTGAATTACACATATTGAAAAAGAAATGTGTAGCTCCTTGGTAGGCGTGGTTTAGGGTGAGACTCCTCCTACAAAACGGATCGCGCATGAATAGCGAGACTTTGCCGAAGAGACGCGCGTCGTACGTCCAGTAAATCGCGGGAGAATGCCAGTGTGACTCGAGCCGCGCGCTAGACCTGTGCTCGGTTTTCCCACAACTTTCGTTGACGACTTTGCTACGTGTTACCCAAGAACTTTTGTAACTTCAACGTACGAAGTGAGGACGATGATGTCAAAATAAATACATCACATGCGAATGTTTCGTGTTTGAAACTAGTTCAGTGTTGTGGAGACGGTGTAAAGAGAGTATCTTGTTTAGAAATAAAGAAATTATGACATTCAGGTGACTTTTGAAGCTTTTAGGGTAAGGATTTCGCTACTTTTTCACCTTACCGGTAGTTAAAAATGTAAGGTTAAAAAAAAATGATTTTTTTCTTTTACTTTTTTTTGTACGTATCAATTATTATACATGTAAAATTATAATGAATATGATTCATGAATTAAATAAAAAAAACAACAAAATTATAAAAAATAATAATAATATCAACTTCTTTCTCAAATTAATACTAATGATTCTTGTGAAAAAGATTCAGTTGGAGTATTCCTATTAATTTCATCGTCGTGAGTTAAACAGACTGGATAATGAGGCCGGTTTTCATTAAGAAATACGATATTTAACAAGCTTAAGAAACGTGTATATTTTTAACAGTAAAAAACTACATTAAAAATTTAATTTCAAGTTGCCGCAAAAACGTTTCTCTGGACATTATGGCGTCTCACTAGTGTGTGACGTCACACGTCTGTCATTAAAACGTCAAACGAATGCAATGTAAACCCTACCTGGTTTAAATTTAGTATATAGGAATGAAGCGACGCATTAGATAGGACTCGAACATGCGTTTTTCGCCGTTTGGGCGAATGCACTAACCGCTTTGGTACCGACACTTTAGTGCATCCGCTCGAACAGCGAAAAATGCCGGTTCGAATCCTGCCTGAAACCATAACCGAGTTGAATTTTTTCTAGTAAAAAAAATCTGTAAAATTATAAATCAACCAGATTATATCTGAAAATAAAATTATATAATAATAGTACCTTTAGTGTAGTGTTTCTGTCGATGAGTAAGGTTCCAGGGCTCCACGGGGTTAAGGTAAGGGTTAGGGTAGCCAACACGGTATCACAAGCCTCAGCATTTATACGCTAAGGTAAAACTAGAAGCCACCCGCGAATGCGTCCTCGATATCGTTTATTATAAACTAGCTGTGCCCCGCGGTGTTACCCGCGGTTTATTAGAGATATTTTCCCGCAATAAATCATAGCCTATGTATTAATCCAGGGTGTCAGCTAACTCCATACCATGTTTTTTTTAAATCGCTCCTGCCGTTTAGACGTGAAGAAGTAACAAACCCACACACTCACCAACTATCGCCTTTATAATATTAGTGTGATGATTATATAGTGGGATAAAAACAGTAAAATTTTCAAACCCTAAAAGCCCTACCAATATCACATTTAGTACAAATAAAATTATTACATTCAGTTCATTCCCAAGTTCTCAGTGCCATTAAATATGCGATGCGAGAGATAATTTGGTATCGCAGGTGTCTTATAGACATAATTTAGACAGGATTATGTTATACATATACATAATGCGATGTGGCATGGAGAATCGTCAACTTACACTGATGACGTTGCTTGACTTGAGTAACGCCTTCAACTCTGTTGATTTTGATATTCTTCTTGCTGTTTTACGTTCTCTTAACATATCTCCAGCGGCTATTGATTGGTTTCAAAGTTACCTGCTAGGACGCCGGCAGCGCATCTGCATCGAAGGCAACTTCTCTGCGTGGTGCACTATTAATGCCGGAGTTCCTCAGGGTGGCGTCTTATCTCCTCTTCTCTTTTCTCGCTTTATAAATTCGATCTCACAAATACTTTCCAGTTCCTATCACCTTTACGCTGATGACCTACAGATCTACACTCAAGCATCGCTATCTGATATCTCAAACGCTATAGCAACTACCAATTCAGACCTAGCTATAATTAGTAGTTGGACTAAGTCATTCGGCCTTACTGTAAATCCTTCAAAAACGCAGACTATTATAATAGGCAGTCCGTACTTTGTTTCCAGGATTGATTTTGGATTATTGCCCCCTATTATCTTTGATGGTACTATTATCCCTTTCTCTAGTACGGTGAAAAATCTTGGTGTGATCTTTGATCAGTTTTTCTCATGGAAACCACAGGTGGAAGCGGTAAGAAAGAAAATATTTGCCGCATACAATTCATTAAACCGGTTGCGTAATTTTTTACCAACAAGTACAAAGGTCACTTTGGATCAGACACTTTTACTTTCCATTATCGACTACGCTGATGTTTGTTATACTGACATATCTGAGGAACTCCTAAACAAGCTGGAACGTCTGCAGAATATGTGTATCAGATTCATTTTTAATCTACGTAAATATGACCATGTGTCTCACTTTCGACACAAACTAAAATGACTCCCTATTCGCCGACGCAGGGACTTACACACTCTTACGGTTCTTTATTCTGTACTTTTCCTTCCTACTTCTCCGCCCTATCTAAAAGAATGTTTCTCGTTTCTTGATTCCAAATCAGAACGCACTTTGCGGTCCTCTTCAAATCTAACCCTTGCAGTCCCACTCCATTCAACTGATTTCTTTTCATATTCCTTCTCTGTGCATTCTGTTCGCTTGTGGAACTCACTACCTGAATCAATCCGAAAGGCTCGCACTCTAAGCTCGTTTAGTGATCAAGTTAGAGGTTATTTCCTTTCCCAACTTTAAGTCTTACCTCTCTCTTGTCTCTCTCTTTGTATATACCTATTACATCTATTATTCATTATTTATTTTACCATACCTACTACACCCCCCCTTCTTGTTCCTCTTATTTATTTATTTCACTGTCATGGGTTGCCTGGAAGAGATTGCTGTTTAGCAATAAGGCCGCCTATTGTGTACGTTTTCACTGTCATGTTTAATGTCTTGTATGTCCTGTGAGATGTATGTCAATAAAGAATATTATTATTATTATTATTATTAATCTGTGGTGGCTGCTGACCATCAGGCTGGACATATGCTTGCAGCAATATTATAATATTCGATAAAAAAAACAACAATTTTATATCCATATACTTCTGGGCACATTTTATCGGCCCAGTCACCGTTTTAAGTTTTGACGGTCCCTAGCTTAAAATGATTGTTACATTGAGCAAAAAGTTATTATCTACGCAATTTTGAAGCTGATTTATTATTCCTTCTATTCGTGTGTTTTTAAAATTATTGCTGAACTATTAACATATATTTTTTCTACAGACCTTTGAAACTTATAAAACTAATTGGGCCGATAGATGTGTGTAGAAGTATACTTATTTGATATATAAAAAATCATACCAGCATGAGTCATAAACGTATACTGAGGGTTTCGTACCATCATAAATTCGAAATATATACAGGACGTCTCACGGCTACCTCACACGGAGGGAAAGTATATTAAATATTTAAGATGGGATATTTTACTGAAAGAAGACATCATTTTATTTTCAATAATAACTAGAACTGTATTCACAGATTTTTTTTTAAATCATCTGCTACAACTGGGAGTCAAACACGTGAAATTTCGAAAAAAAAACACCATATTTTATGATAACTATCGAAAGGGTTAATCATAAGGATTATTTTTTGCTAAATAACATAGCATTTTAAATAAAAGGAATGTCGTGTCAAAAATAATAAAGTGATATACACACTGTAGTACGTATGCTTTCTTTTCGAATTCACAGTTACAATGTGATTGGCAGAAATTTATAAAAATAATAATTCAAAAATGGAACACAAATTTTTAAGCTTTTGTTTTTTGTGAGTTTCATTTTCGTTTATTTGCATTTTTTTTTGTTAATCTACTTACCATGGCCTATCAAAATAAAATGGATTTAATGGAAGCTTACTTTATGAACCACAAATATATGTTAGCTTTGCGGTGGTACCGCGAAAGATATCCTGATAGAGACGTACCTTCTCGATATGTGTTCAATAGGTTAGTGGACACTTTATGAAATTTAGGACGTTGTGTTTTGCGCTTACAGAAACCACAGCAGCGGATGATAAACGTCAGTGATGATGAACTCAACATTTTAACTTACTTTGAGACGTATCCGATTTTATATTAATTTGTGTTAAATATTTTTAAATAAAATGATAAATTTAATTATTTTTCTTTCATTTAAAATGCTATTTTATTTAGCAAAAAATAATCCTTATGATTAACCCTTTCGATAGTTATCATAAAATATGGTGGTTTTTTTTCGAAATTTCACGAGTTTGATTTCCAGTTGTAGCAGGTGATTTTAAAAAGATCTGTGAGTGCAGTTCTCGTTATTATTAAAAATAAAATGATTTCTTCTTTTAGTTAAATATGCTATCTTCAATATTTAATATACTTTCCCTCCGTGTGAGGTAGCCGTGGACGCCCTGTATAGTGATTGTTAAAATCGTTCAAAAATGCCGATATAATTATAGTCCCCCTATAAAATAAATGAATTCCGCTTTTCTTTTAACTTTCTTTATTATGTTTTCACGTACACCTACTATTTAATAAAACACATTTTGAATGGACACCGGAGCCCGTAAAAGATCCAAAGTATCAGGAATAATGAAAAAAAGTTTTTTATAAACGCGTGCAAAAACTGATTTATTAACTTTTATTTTCTTATTTGATGTTGTAGTAAGAATAAAAATGTATATTATTTGAAAATTTCTACCGCCTCTATTATAGTCATACCGCTGACAGACGGACAGACAAGAGAGGCTCGGTAGTACAATTTCATTGATACAATCACGTGCTTTATGATTATGACTTACTGTTATGGTTTTATGAACGAGCCGTGGACTGTAAACATAATTTTACGAAAATGCAACACCAGCCAGCTGCATCTCCAGGTCACCTAGATATCATAACTACTGTATCATCATTTAGTGTAGAGTTAGAAAATAGGCCATATTTTGTGTTTAAATCTAAATAAATTCTTTAATAAATAAAATCCACATGGCCCAGGAAGCAGACGGGAGATTCAATGGATTGAAATTAAATATAGCTGCTCGGAATAAATAAAACGCAAAGTGATTACTTAAGCTGTGATAATAACTTATAATTGTTACTCTGGCTTCTTGGACTACTGACGTTTAAAATAATGAGTAGTTAATTATTCCTGCATTTGAGTTCATTTTATATTAAATAATATTAATTTTGCTGAAAGTTATTTCTGCACATATTTTATAAAGGGTCTCCATTCCAAACCCTATGAAATATCACACATGTATAAGCATAACATATACAGTACTATA